CGTACTCGACTGGACTTGTTGAAACCAGACCTCCGCTTGAAGATAAGCAACCGTCAGATAGACCAAACCGTCACGAAGGGTGGTGCTGTAACCAGAGAATTCTCCATCGGTCAGACAGCGATAGCACGAAATTACACTGGTAGTACAAAGTGGGTACCTGGCATCATCCGCACACAACTTGGGCCCCTTTCTTACGAAGTAGAAGTCAAACCTGGCCTAGCGTGGCGTCGACACACAGACCAACTGAGGGATACCAGCATTCCAGTAACACCAAGCAGCAACCCTGTTACCCAGACCTCAGAACTTCCAATCCAGGTTGAGAGTCGTGAGGACCCAGTGTCTGTAGCCAGTGAGCAGCCAGCAGCCAGCGACTTGGAGACTGATGTTCTGCCACCAAGTCCAGTGGCTGACCCTGCAGCCAGCAGTCCACCAAATTTGAGTGAACCTGTTCCTGTTAGACGATATCCGGTCCGAGTGCGGAAGCCCCCAGCTAGGCTGGATTTATGAACTTTGAAGTGACATTAAGACTGTGCTTATTTCAATAGGCGTGTTGTGTTTGACTTAACGTTTCAGATCCTTATTAGTTACCATATTGCATGCACTAGCTAGTGGGGAGGAGTTGTGGTGTTTTTGGCCAGCGGCCAATACACTTTGAGCATGCGCACTTATGCGCCATTCCGGAACGTAGTCCGTTCGAATCAAAGACATGACAGGTGAGGTAACCCGCGGTGGGTCACCCCACCTATCATGTAAACGTGATCAAATTAAAATGAGAGATTATATGGACAGGCGCGTTACCCCACCTAAGCAGGTTACCTCATCTACCTGGGGTCCCCCACCTCCATGCCAACAGGCCCTTACATTGGCAAAAACAACTACTCTGCAAGTGAATCACTCTTTTTTGGTACATTTCTTTACCGTCACTACAAGACTACGACCTGAATGTTCCTAATTTCACGTTTTTTGGCGGACTTGGGCGCATATGACAACGACTTTCTTTTTCTTTTCCTGAACTGCGACACAATCTTTTAGAATTTAACCCCGGAAAAATTTGCCGACATTTGACGAATTGAGGCGAGATGGAATAAGAGCGATTAAGTTTGAGGCAACGTGAATTCCCACTTTTAGTTCAGTAAGTGACGTTTTCGTAACCGTCGCCGTCGTTGTTGCTTGACCTACCTAATGTCGTAAAAGAAGAAGCATTCTATTTTGTAATTAGATAAACGCGCCAATTATATAATCCTACCCGCACCCTTTCTGCTGTTTGTTTCGTTCTTTCCTGTTTCGTTCAATGCTGACTTAATTAGCCTGCAGTGCAGGCGTTTTTTTCGGGCGTGCAAATGTTTTTGATCGCGAAAGCGCCATGTTGAAACTTCCCGAAGAGAGGAGGAAATGGGGCCTACCCTAAGGGTTACCATTTCTACTCTCCCTAATCTTCCGCTGTCATAGAATCAAAGATGGCGGCTACAGCGATATACCCTGGGTACCAAAGATTTTTTCTCGCGTGTGACGAAGAGCTTCATTGGCCGCAGGCCGACACGTCTTCGGCCTGACCGAAACCGGAAACCGCGCATGAAAAGTCTCTGGCACCCTGGGTAACAGCGATACGAACACGAACAAGGTTTCGCCTACCCAAAATACGCTTGCACTGCAGGTTACGACTTAATGAAATAGAGAGGTTGGGCAATCTGACAGGAAACCGTACACATTGGACCCTTGAAGCACGGTACCTTCTTCAGATGAGAAGCTGGAACATTGTCCATCCCTTTGGGACATGAAAATCATGTCAAACGTACTTATGTATGGAAAACTAACACCAAAACTGCGATTATCTTAAACAATTTCAGACCAAACTCTACTCAACCATTTACATTTTAATTTTGTAGTTACAAACTCGCTCTACTCTAACACCAATAAACAATGCGATAGTTGGAACTCTCTATGGACATTTCCGACGAAATCAACGACGTAACGATCGCTATTGATGAAACGACGATCTTGGAGATGAAAGCGATGATCGCGTTGCCATTCCGATCAATTTTGACAATGTTAGACTAGACGATGATGGCAAAGAAATCTGCCAAACTGTCTGCTGCAAGCGCTAGCTGCTTACTCAGGGCTTTTGTTTTGCTAGTGTTAAACCTGTTACTTTATTTATTTTTCCGTTTCCGTTGTCTTCGTCTTAGTTGCTCGAGCGTGCTAGTAGCGTCACCACGCAAAACTATTCAGTCTTAAATTGTGGCGATTTCCTTGAAAACCGACGATTTGATGGCAAACGTGCGACAAAAACGACGTCCCCAGGTACCTGCCTCGTACCCAGGCACGTTCTAGCGGATTCGAGAGCGACTGGGATTTTGGTTGCGCGCTAGGTATCGTTCAACCTTCCCAGCGTCCTTTGCGTCCACGCTAAACGTTCCCATGGTCCATTGCGCGATACTTCTTGATGGCTCGTGCAGTGGCGTTTTCTGTTTTCCACAGTTGAGACGCCTGGGAACGAGGCAGCCCATGTACTCACAGAGAGGCTTAGAGTTCCTTCGAATATTCCATTTCAATACTGTCTTGTAGTCTCGCCTATTAATAACTCTTGCGCTGTAAATTTCTCTACAGCGAACGCGCTAACCTGAGGAAATATTACATCCCCTGGGCTGTGTACTGTGGCTATCAATCTAAGTTTTTCATGAACGTTTATTTTGAGAAACACTTTGAGGAACCATTGGAGTACCTTTGTTAAAGATTGAACTTTGCTCCTGCGCCCAAAATACAGAGCATCTCTTAGTAAATAATACGTATTTTTAGTTTATGTCGAGGTGAAGTAAGCGTTGTATATGTTATGAAAGATGAACCGTATTTTAAATAGAACACTAAGTTATTTTTCCACAAGCTTTGGTGAAAATGCGAACTATTCTAATTTTGTTGTCGTAATAGTTGCATGATAAATGAAGCATTTTATGAGACAGAATTTTCATTTATCTCATGATAAATGAACAATTCATCGCACCGGTCTCGCGAGGTCACGGGTTCAAACCCCGTTGAAGTCCGGAATTTTCTTCAGGCTTCTTTACGCAATATTTCTTCATTTTCATTTCATTTCCGCAGTTCATATATGATTTATTTCATATATCATTAACAAGAAAAAGTGTGTTAGTGAATAATATGTCAGTTCATGACGCCAAACCGATTGCTCTTTTAGGTTAATTAGAGAAAAGAAAATTGTCGTTTAACGATGATCTAACATGAAGGAAGAAAAACAGTTTCATTATCGTGCAGGAAATTAAAAACAATTTTTCACAAATATATGATCAAGTTAGATGACTGGATGAGAAGACAATTTTTTTTCGTTCTTGTCAATTTGTGGATTTATTGCAAGAGGATGGAAATGCAGGTGCTTTTCTGGATCATAACAAGAATCTAAAACAGGATGATGTACGCCAGACTAAGCGAGGTTTGCAACGTTTTTCTGTTTTTAGTGGTCAAGAATGTAGAAAACGACGCGAAAGAGATACCGATGAATAGATGTACTAAACCGATGAAACGAATGATAATAAAGTTTGATGAACGTGCTTTGTGTTTATGTGAAAATGGGAGACGTGGTAGAAAATTTGAAAACAGGAAGAAAAAGCTGTAATGATATCAGTGACATTGAACTTATTTTACGGGAAAAGTAGTGTTTCGTGGATGGAAATTTGAGTAGAAACAGGAGAGAAGTGGAATTCGTTTGGTTTTAGTTCTAGATAACTAATGACGTTTAGTATCGCAAGATCATGTTACTAAGCAAGACCAGGTTATTTTTTTCGGGTGAAGAAAATAATAATACTTGGACATAATGGGGCCATTTTTAATGTTAAGATTTTTAAATGTCAAATTAAAATGGTCTGATGGTTTTTTCTTTGCTCTTTTAAAAATGTTGGTTCTGGTTCAACCTCATGTTTGCATGACTTCTTTCGCGTTTTTTGTTCAAAATGGAAAAAGAAATGTTTTGATCACAATTGATGATGAATGTTAGAGACCACAGCCCTTAGTATGAGTTAGTAGCGCTGAAAGAAAAAACGTTCAAATTTGAGAACGTCATTTTACATTCAGGCGGTATACCATCAGGAAGGACTGAAAAAGCAAATAGTCTGCGTTGTGAAGAATGTTGGGTGCCACCTTAACAACTTGCTTAGAAAGGACCGCAATGCATGTTTGTGCAGATCTGAACCCTGCGCCTGAAGTTCTAAGATCTATTAGTGTAAAGAACTTTAAGAAAAACGCAGATGTGCTTGTGAATTTAGGAGACGTGCTCAAACGTCCAAATATTTTTCATATCAGTTTCCCTGGAGAATAAAACTTTTACTTTACCTTCATGTTACTGAAAAAAAAAAAGTCAAAAGGCGTGGGTTTTGAGTTTTTGGCTTTAGTAACAGTCCAGATTCCTTTCCTCCCAGTGATAAGAATTTACTGAAATACCTTATTTTTATTTTGTCAGTTTACACCGGTTAGAATGTTCATGTAACGCGAAACTTCCAGCGAAACGCTTTTTTTAAAAACAGACAAAATATTTTGCGTGTGTTACCATGAAACTGAGTGGTTCAGTGCGTTGACAATGTGGCAATTAAGTCGATTATGCTTTGTCATGAAATTGGCACACGCACGTTCTTCTGGCAGCGAGGGATATTTAACAGCACCTGGTTTAAGGTTTCTTTAAAGACGGAAATTTCACAATTTTTAAAGAAAGTACCAAATACAATGATATTAGAAAAAAAGGAAAGACAAAAAAGCTCGAAATATAAAAACTGAGAACATCCCCGTGTAGTTTTCGATTCATGCGTTCTTTTGATATCCCTGTTAAGTGAAAAGTCATGCTTATTTTGCATATTTTCAATAATTTTTTTTAAAGTGCATATCAAGTTGTATGTTGACAAATGTTTTGGTGTCCGCTCAGGAGTGTTCATTAAAACCGTCAGTAAAGTTCTAAGTTGCCAGTTATAATGCAGATCAAACATTTATAAAACAGCTGCAGTGTTGTGAAAGAAGTAAGAAGGTTGCAAGTCGCCTTGGAACACATCTTACAAGAAAACTTAGTTGAACTGGAAGAACACGATGACATCGCTCAACAACACGTCTGTTGTCAGTGGAACTTCTGAAGACTACGGAGTGATCCAATACCAGGAAACTCTACCCCTGCGTATTTTTCGTCATACCTTGTTTACACTGATCATCTTGGCCAGCTTGATCGGTAACTCGGTCGTTTGTAAAACAATTTGGAGAGCGCCTCACCGCAAGCCGTTTTCATACCATCTCGTTGCCAACATGGCCTTTGCAGAAATCGTCAACTCTCTCTGCTTACCGATCATGTACGTCTGGCAGTATGAAAAAGGACACAAGAATGTTGTCATCCACGATATCTGGTGCGTTGACAATCCCATCCAAGTTATTTCATTGATGGTAGTAACTCATTCGCTGGCAGGGCTCGCGTTCTACCGCTACCGAGTACTCATCAACCCCATCCAAAAACATGTATCTGGGAAATTGAAGACTGTGATCTTTTCCTGTTTGTGGCTTGTTCCTACTGCTGTCTGTGTGCCCATATTCATTCGAAACAGGTTCGTAGGTGGCCATTGTGAATTGCATCCTGTTGGGAATGTCTATGCCTTTTCGCTCGTGTTATTCACCCTGAATTATGTCCTACCCTACTTGGTCATGCTAGCATCTTACGGAGCGGTAGCGTGGAACCTAAGACAGCGAATCGGCCAAAACACCTCCTATGCTCGCAGTAAGTCGATCATCCCTTCCTCAGCTGCACCCCTAGAACTCCACACCAACTATCGGAGGAGAGAAACTACGACGCCAGAAGAACACCGACCAGGCCCAGTCTTAATAGACGTGAATAACCGTGGATGTACCAAGCCAGAAAACACCACTGACGCCGAGCAAGATTTACTGAAGATGATATTTGCAATAATTCTAATATTTGTGATTTGTTATTTCCCATATCAAGCCGTATTTTTGTGGGAAACATTAGCTGATGTAAAAGAGTGGAAATTTCGGTATCATAGCCTAATGCTAAAGTATAGTTTTATATTAATTTGTTTGCCAAGTGCTTTGCATCCTGTGTGTTACGGAACAATGAACAGCTTTTATGCTAAGGCATTCTCGAAGATGTTTCTTTGCAAATCCTAAAATCCTAACCATGTTTCTTTTTATTTCTTTTGGAGTATGATTTAAAGAAAGTTTTATTTTTAATAGCTGAATAAAGGAAGACAAGTAAGAGACTTTAAATCAAGTGGAAAATAAAACAGCAGCGCTATCCCGTAATTCACCCGAAAAATATATAAAAATATAAACCATAACACTGATATCATTGAAAGAACGTTAAATCAATAAAGGATGAAATGTTAAAGTTCGTCTAAGGGTACCAAGATCAACAGAGATTAAAATTGAAAACTGTTAATTAGTTTTTCCGTTGTAAGGAGAGATTTCCCATGTATTCCTTATTTGATTTGAATTTCATATCTAGCTTTTAAATATTCCATTTGAAGTTGTGTTAGCCGTAATTTACATTGAATTTGCATTGAGTTGTATTAGTTCCCTTAAATTATACACATTTTACTTCAATGTTTACTTTTAAAGGGATAATTTGTTCTGGATAATTATACAGCCTAATTAGTCACTGAATAACTGGATCTTTCGCCTGTTCAAATACCAACCGTTCGTAGTTTTCAGTTTTGACATTTTGAGGGATCCTGAGCAAAGGAAACTCGAATTCGTTTACACAGCTTTCTTTGTAGGTTTTCTAAAATTCACTTGATTGACTGACATTTAATTTTGAGTTATTTAGTTTAACATATGAACTTGTTTTCGCTGTTCAGCTGATTTTATTCAGCCTTCTTTCCATTTGTTTTGTGATATTGTAATAAGGTGGTCGGTTTGTATGAATAGAGCACTGTTATTCCTGTTTTTCGATTTTACATTGCGGATTTATTTGATTGTATGATTTACGTTCACGAGCTGAAGATTAAACTGTTGAAGTCCAAGTTTGAGTCCTTTCCTGTTTCCAGTTGTAGCAGATCCAGTACCTTGGAATAGTGACGAGTTCCTTTCCCGCTATCCAAGCGAGTTGCAGAGTTAGTTTTCCCCTTGTTGTTCTTACGCCGAAGTCGCTCGAGTTCTCTCACAGGTAACCCAGGCTCTGTGATAGTACCACAGTACGGTTCCAGTAAAATTACAGTGTTTGTATGGGGTAAAAATATCATCCTAAAATTTCTAGGAAATACTAAATAAAGATCAATGAAACTTACTCTGCAGTTAATTGTTGTTGTCCTTACCGCTCCAACGAAGTTTCGTGATAATTTGCAGTAATTTGTTCAAATTCACTCTATCTACAATAATAATATACAAGGTAGGAAACACGAGGTGCCATTTTCGCCGACATGCTCTCATTCAACACAACTTTTTCCACGAAATTCGAACTCCAACGGAAAATAAACATGCCAGGATCGTAGAAATAGGATAGCAGCAGATATAGAAACCAATGACGCTTTCCCAGATAGAGAAACGAATCCCACAGACTTGGACAAACTCGAAGAATATAATCCAAACACACCGAGAATACGCTCGTCGAAGCAGCCGGGCCAGATCAACGCGCGGCCAAGAAAATGAAGCCTGGGCACTGTACAAAAAAATTCCATCTCGGGAGTCCTGGGGTGACCTTTCTAGGGACCGATACATCATTTGCCCAAGGTCACTCTCCCCTGCTGGAAAAATACTTGATAGAAGGCAATTGTTCTTCCTAGCCAATCACTATGGCCTGTTATAAAGAGATTATTTTCCTCTCGAACTATATTCAGCTCCTGGCGCTGGTCCTCAGAAAGTTTATCAAACATCAGTAGGGCAAGGTTATAGGGGCAAAGGAAAGAACAACGAAGGACGATTTACAAAACTTAAAACGAGCAAAAGATATAAGTGAATTTTGGCTCTTACCGAGGCATTTGTACAACAGGACCAAATTCAAAGAGAGGTGTATCACGCTGATTCACATATTTAACCGGTAGAGCGTTCACTTGTATTGACAAGAAGTCGGCGTGTTACTGCCGCATTAATCGCTAAATATGTTAATCGCGCTAGTTCTTTGTTTACTAGTGCACGTGCCTTTCACATTCGTCTCAGTTATCGCAATTCATATTCTGTCGCAATTTTCTGTATAATTTTTGACATTAGTTTGTAAGCTTCACCGTTTATTTACGATAGTTTCGCTCGAGAGTTCACAGCAACAGTATCTCAGTCATCATCTACCTTTTGTTCAACCTTGTTTTTAGTCCGCCTTGTAAGCATTTCGCGTTGTTATTTCATTAGTTTCATTACTGTTATTTGCATTCCTTAGTAAAAGAAATGGGACGCCTTGTAACTCCGCAGACTCTCCTGATTATATTACTATTTTTCTATCCATTTAAATTCAGGCGCGTGTGCGGGGTTTGCTCTTGCAAATGGTGATTGGCTAGGGAGAACAATTGCCTTCTATCAAGTATTTTTCCAGCAGGGGAGGGTGGCCTTGGGCAAATGATGTATCGGTCCCTAGAAAGGTCACCCCAGGACTCCCGGGATGGAATTTTTTTGTACAGTGCCCAGGCCTCATTTTCTTGGCCGCGCGTTGATCTGGCCCGGCTGCTTCGGCGAGCGTATTCTCGGTGTCATTGGTTTCAATATTTGCTGCTATCCTATTTCTACGATCCTGGCATGTTTATTTTCCGTTGGAGTTCGAATTTCGTGGAAAAAGTTGTGTTGAATGAGAGCATGTCGGCGAAAATGGCACCTCGTGTTTCCTACCTTGTATATTATTATTGTAGATAGAGTGAATTTGAACAAATTACTGCAAATTATCACGAAACTTCGTTGGAGCAGTAAGGACAACAACAATTAACTGCAGAGTAAGTTTCACTGATCTTTATTTAGTATTTCCTAGAAATTTTAGGATGATATTTTTACCCCATACAAACACTGTAATTTTACTGGAACCGTACTGTGGTACTATCACAGAGCCTGGGTTACCTGTGGTTCTCTTAACGCTTATTTCCCCGATTTGTGCTTGGAAGGACTAAACCTATCGTCACACCGTCGTTCTCTCGGCCTGCTTGAGCTTGATATGACCAGCCGCAGGAATATTGTGGAAACCTGAACGAAAAACTCGACGAAAGAAAGCAAGGCAATGGAATGAGCCCGAATGATCGGGGTTATATGAAGAAAGGTTAGCATCATTTTTCAATAACCGAGAAAATATAGATGAAAGAAGTGTGACGTAAAATTTGGGTTTTTAAGGTGACCCGAGCCTACCTATATGCGTTTGGTTATGTTACTGAATCGCGTTTTGAAGGTTCCCGTCTTGAGGAGAAATAAAGCTACCGACTCCATTAAGTACTTTAGTCGATCCATTTTGAGCTGTAACGGAAACCCTTGTATTAGGTAATTTATTCAAGCTTGAAAGATTTGCCATCACATTCGCACGGGCACTTTGCCATTGGGGTAATGAAAAGAATAAGACGATTGTCATATTTTCTTCCTCTTTATCCCCACGTGGCAAACTTCCCGTGCGAATGTGATGTCAAGTCTAAAAAGCTTGAATAAATTACCAATTACAAGGGCTTTCAGCGCTGCTGAAAAATGGACGGTTAGAAGTACTGGAGTTGGTGGCTTTATTTCTCCTCAAGACGGAAACCTGCGAGGCTAAAATTAAAACTCTTGAGAGTTTTTCTTAGATGCTATATTTTGCCTTGTTAAGATAGGTTTCGAAAAGAGATGGACAAATACAAAATTAGTTTTTATAATTAGAGAAATACATCATTTTTGCATGTCTTATTTTTATTTTCAGATAAAAAGGGATTACAAAACAGATCAGGAATGAATTATTTGTTTTGTTAAGAATGAATTATAAAAGGTTTCCAACACTTAAGAAATTTTTATTTCGGAGCTAACGAGCGATATATATAAATAGAACAGATAATTGCAAAAATCCGCGTCATTCTGCAGTGACAGAGTTCAAAAAAAAAAGAAAAAAGAAAACATCAACAACAATAAACAAAACACAAAAGAAAATAGGGAGGATAGCGCAGTTTTAAATGAGCATTTTGACAATCATTTTCACCAAAGCAACAAAAATAGTAACAGAAAATATTACTTTATATTGCTGGGTCTTCACCTGCCTCATGCAGGAAGTCCGAGATCATCTGTGCACTGGATTTAGCTGCTTACACCACGTTCTTTGCACCACTGACGACGTCATCAAAGGCCCCGTTAATATGGAGAAAACTTGTCCCGGGTACGTAGAAGGGTCACTGGCCTGTCCACGCTACCGTGGGAAGAGCCAACTTTTATTACGTATTTCCTTACAAAACGTGACAAACTGTTGCATGAGAAACAAAACGTTGGCTTGGCGTTTTCGATGGCCTGGTCATCCGCCTAGCTTGGCCAACTTTTCTCCATGCAAACACTTTAACTCGCCCTGGCTCGGCGAGGTCAACTGGCCCAACGCCAGACAATCATTCAGAGCATGCGTTAGGGCTTTATCAGCTGTTAGCTTCGGACAAAAGGTGGACCTTTTTTTTAGCCCGATAAAACAGCCGACATTTCGCGACGCCACTGGTGATTTGCCCGCGAAATGACGTCTGAGAAACAAGCACAGAAGTTCCATACTGATGACGCGTCGTTCCCCTGATCTGGGTGGTGCTTCTGATTGGTTGGAAGTTTGCTTCACTGATCCAACCAGAAGCACCACCCAGATCTGGGTAGTGACGCGTCATCAGTATGCCTTGCCTCCACACATGTCCAATAAACACAAACGGATACGATTCGTCAAACTGATGGTCCATTGGTGCCAATGGTACGATTGGTACCAATACAAAAGCACCCTATTCCAATGGTTCTGTTGGTGAATATGCATCTCATTAAGGGGACTTAGATTATTTTCTCATGTGCTCTCGCTGGGTACAGAGCAATTCCAATGGTCCATTGGTACCAATGGTACGATTGGTACCAATGGAAAAGCACCCTATTCCAATGGTTCTATTGGTGAATATGCATCTCATTAAGGGGACTTAGATTATTTTCCCATGTGACCAAGTAAAAGCGCGCTATGATTCTTATGAATATTCCTCGTTCTATAAGCCAACCATGCAAAACAAGTTCGCTTTTACACCAAGTAAAAACGTGCTAATAATTATTATGAATATTCCTCGTTCTATAAGCCAACCACGCAAAACAAGTTCGCTTTTACGCCAAGTAAAAACGTGCTAATAATTATTATGAATATTCCTCGTTCTATAAGCCAACCACACAAAACAAGTTCGCTTTTACACCAAGTAAAAGCGCGCTAATAATTATTATGAATATTCCTCGTTCTATAAGCCAACCATGCAAAACAAGTTCGCTTTTACGCCAAGTAAAAACGAACTAATAATTATTATGAATGTTCCTCGTTCTATAAGCCAACCACACAAAACAAGTTGCCTTTTACACTAAGTAAAAACGCGCTAATAATTATTATGAATATTCCTCGTTCTATAAGCCAACCACGCAAAACAAGTTTGCTTTTACACCAATTAAAAACGCGCCATAATTCTTATGAATATTCCTCGTTCTATAGGCTAACCGCGCAAAACAAGTTCGCTTTCACACAAAGTAGAAACGCGCTAATAGTTACAAAGCGAGGGCGACCTATATATCTAGCGCTAATAATATCTCAAGGTGCTGCGAGTATAACA